TCAAAGAACTTTTTGAGGTACTATGGTATGTGCGATTCTATTTATCCATCTTAACTGAGTCCTGGAAGTTTTGGGAAAATGGGCAAACTTCCAACATCTATCAGGTGAAATAGGCTAGTGATCAAACTTAAAATTCTCCCGCAAGTCCAGATGGAATCTCACTAAGGATAAATGCCACCTCTAGGTGTAGACACTCCATTTCTATATATGGTGCTACTTAATTATCAAATTATCATCAAATATTCTTGAATTTTCACTGATCCTTGAGTTTAGTAGGCAGAGTCGTTTTCTTTCATTAAGGATTTGCACTCAGCATTTGCTCAATCGAAGCAAATCCACCAAAGATGACTAGCCAACTGCCCTTTCCAACATGGCTGGGTGTGAGAAGTTTCCAGTCTCACAACCCATTTCAAGGCAGAAACTGAAATGAAGAGGGCAGTTCTCATTACTGGGAGTCAGAGCCCAACCAAATGTTCTCTCCATGCTGGTGCCAGGGTTCAGTTCAATCCTCTGTCAGAGCAGAACCCCTCCTGGGCTGTGATGTCTCTCTCGCAGCAACAGGTCTGACATCTCTAGAGCTCATTACTTGCACACTCACAATAAATCTCTGAGGCTGGAGTGATTCTGCTTTCTGCTTTTACAGCGCAAAAATGGAAAAGTCCTTGTGGGAAGGAAACTGGCTAGCTAGGGCCAGGCCCAGAGCCTCAGTCTGAGCTCTGAGCAGAAGTCCCAGCCTGCATCCCCAAGTGAAGTCAGGGTAGGATGCCTGTGAGATGACTCTGCAGGTTCATTTGGTGTCACAGTCCAAGGAGTTAAATGGCCTGGGTGTGGTAAGAAGATGGTACCCTGAGAAGCCATTCTGTAAGAATCTGTTGAATATCCTTGATTGAATAGTCAATAGAAAGCATGAGAATATATCACAATGAGATCACATTTTTCAAAAATAGGTCCTTAAAAGCTATTTCGTTCTTTTATTTATTTATTTATTTGGCTAATGTACATTAGTTATTCTAAAAAGACTCATTTTTGGTAAAAAGTAAAACATGGTAATATTACTACGTTTGAGCAAGCTACAGAACACACTCATTACTTAATTAGCAACAACCAAGGCACCCTCTCAAATTCATGAGCTATTACTCTAATTGTAATTTCTGCAACTGACATAGAAAATATGGTTCTTGGGACTAGCAGTTAGCATAATGGCTATGTCACTGAACTCCCATATAGCCGAGCGTGGTTCAAGTCCTGAACCTGGTGGCTTAAACTCACACTGGGCACGTGTGCGTGCATGCCCAAGATCCCGAGAGGAGAATGGAGGAGAAGGGATTGCGGTATGCCGATCCCCCCTGAGGAGTAATTTCTTGCTTTCTATCTCTGTCTCTTCTGTCTTTCTGGTGAGCACACGCGCCCTATAGCATTAAACCTCTCCAAAAAAAAGAGAGAGAGGATATGTAGTTATTGTTATTTTTTAAATGTACTGAGATATAACTCACATATCATATAATTCACATATTTAAAGTATACAGTTGAACAGTTTTTAGAAATTAAGTTTTAAAACCATTGCAAGAGTCAATTTTAAAACATTCTCTTTACCTCCCAAAGGAATCACTGACCACTTACCTATCACCCTCAATTTCCTATCTCTCAAGCCTCCTTCCCCTAGACAACCACTAAAACTACTTTCAATTTCTAGAGAATTCTCTCTTCTGGACATTTTGCATGAATTAAATCATACGTTTTCAATGTTCATTCATGTTGTAGAAGGTATCTGCATTTCATTCCTTTTCATACTAAATAACATTCTACTGTATGATTATATTATACTTTATCCATTCATAGACATTTGGGTTCTTTCCACTTCTTGACTTATAAATAATATTGCTATAAACATTCATGTAGAAGTTTTTATTTGGGCTTATGTTTTCTTTTCTCTTAGGTAAATAAATACCTAGGAATGGAGTTACTAGATATAGTAACTATGTTGTACCATTTCCAAAATAGCTGCATCATTTTTACAATCCCATCAGCAGTGTATAGGGATTCTAATTTCTTGACATTCTCACCAACACTTATTTTCTGTATCGTTCATTACAACCATCTTAGAGGGGGTGAAGTCCTATTACATTGGGATTTTGATTTACATTTGCCTACTGATTAATAATGTTGATAATTTTTCATATGCATATTATCCATTTGGATATCCACTTTGGAGAACTCTCTATTCAGATCTTTGCCCATTAAAATTTTTATTTTTTATTTTTTGGAGAGGTTTTCGCTATGGGGCGCGTGCGCTCGCCAGACAGACAGAGAGAGACAGAGAGACAGAAAGCGAGAAATCACCCCCCAGGGGGGATGGTCACGCCGCAATCCCTTCTCCTCCATTCTCCTCTCAGGATCTTGGGCACGCACACACACGCGCCCGGCGTGAGTTTTAAGCCACCAGGCCCTGGACGCGAACTGTGGTCGACTACGTGGGAGTCCAGCGACATAGCCATTACGCTAACTGCTGGTTCCCTAAAATATTTTTTTATTGTAGCAGTTCTTCATATAGTCCAGATACGAATGCCTTCCTTATCAGATACATTATTTTTAAAGATTTTTCTCCCATTCTTTGTGTTGTTGTTATTTTGCTGATAATGTTTTTTAACACACTGGGTTTTTAATTTTGATGGTATCCAGTTTACCTGTTCTTTTTTTTCCCTTCGTTGTGCTTTTGGTGTCATATCTAAGGAACTATTGCCTGTCCCAATGTCATATATCTTTATGCTTACATTTTTTTCTAAGAGGCATACATTTTTAGCTTTTGCTTTGGTCTTTGATCCATTTTGACTTAATTTTTATATGATATGGAGCAGAAATTCAACTTCCTTCTTTTGCACATGGATATCCAATTATCCAAGCACTATTTGTTGAAGAGATTATTCTTTTCCTATTGAATTGTCTCGGCGTCCTTGTTGAACATCAGTTGATCATAAGTGTGAGGGTATATTTCTCAACTTGCAAATTCTATTTCATTGATCAATATGTTTATCTTTATGTCAGTACTACACTGCCTCATATGCTATAACTATGTAGTAAGTTTTTAAATCAGGAAGTGTGAGTTCTCCAAAGTTCTTCTTTTTCAATATTACTCTGACTATTCTTAATCCCTTGCATTTCCAAAGGGCAGATGTGCCTTGAAATAGGTAAATTCCTACCCATTTAAGATTACAAAATGAATGACAGATTATTTTAAGACTTGCGAGATTCATCAGAGGCTGAGAAGAAGAAACAGCAGAGCAAGGACTCATCATTGCAAAACTAACTCACTCAGCACGTCCTATTCCTAATCACTCATGCATGACAGTAGGGATGATGGTTTTTAGAGCATAGATTGTACAGCCTCTGTGTAATGGCCAAAGTTTTCCTGAGTACATTTTTTCAAGCTGATTTCTTTCTGGAGATCAAACAGTAAAGGAATGGGAAGAGCAAAGAAATAAACTTCTTGATGTAATGGTTCACTAATGAAAAATAAGACAATATTAAAAGAGAGTAATGATGACATATGAGGCTGCAACTATCCAGATGACCAGGTTGGTAGCTCATCATACTTTCTTTATTATCAAGGCCCAACCAAAGACAAAGAAGTGAGACCTTGTAAAGCTGGTTTGGGATGGAGAAGATAAATTTACTACAGCGGAAATTCTGTGATTCAGAGAGGGAAACAAGGCAGAGAAGTTAGGTGGGAGCCAGACAATGAAAGGTCTTAGTGGATTTTCTCTTGTATGAATTAGGGAGTTAGAGAAGAGCTCTTAACAGAAGGAAGAAATTGATGACATGTGCAATATCAATGGAAATTTAGGGAAGAGGAAGTGTTTGAGAATTTTACATTAACCAATCAGATAGAAGAGCTGGAAACTGATTAAAAAGGTATAGGAGACAATGGCCACTGGTGAAGCCATAGGGATGAAAGGCCATTATAACCATCAATAGAAAGGGGTAGACAACAGGATATGTAGGCAATGAGGTAGAAGAAAAGTTTACTTACAGGCTTCAGGAATGTGAATCCTCACATAAATAAATAAATACATAATAAGTTACCAAACTAAGACATGTTTGGCAAGCACTTAGGGATATAGAACTAAGACTTTATCGAGGATCTGAGCTGAAGAAAGAGATGGGAAGACCCCAAAGACATGGTGTCTGAATCTTCAGGAATGACAGAGATCTCATGGTAACCAGTCTAGAAAGAAAAGATCAGAGAAATTAGAATTAGATCATATTGAGTTGTTGAAAGGAGGGAGAGAGACTGGTTTGAAAATCAGTACAGATACAACTATAAGCTTCTGAATGACAATCTGGTTATATAACAAAAGTTTCCAAATATATCTACCTTTGATATATAAGTTATATTTTCTGAGATGTAATCAGAAGTATATACAGGTATCAATGATATTTTTGTACACTGAAGTATTATTAAAATAGAAAGGAAAAAAAAGGACTAGGATGGGGAAACAACCTAACTGCACAAGAGAAGATCTGAAAAAAGTAAATTGAACAAACAAAAATGATAATGTTGTAAAACACTGAATAATGAAAATCTATTGATATAGGGGGGAAATCCCATTATAATTTTAAATAAATAAATCACTATTTAAATTCAAAAGACAGTATGATTTTAATCTTGAACACATGCCTATGTGTCATTCAGTGAGTTAGATAGTGTCTATAAATATGATTAATGAAAAGATTGAAATACTCCAAAATTAACAGTGATTTCTGCCTAACAGAGCTTCAAGGTAACTTCTTCCTTTATTCTTTTTCATATCTTTCAAATTTTCTATGAACATACATAACTTTTATAACCAAGAAAAACACACCTTTGCTAAATGCTACAAATATCTGATATGATAACTCTGTACTTATAAGTGGTTTGCATAACATTATTTTTTATTTCTATATATTAAATGTGTTTAAAACTAAGCTTCTTGTTACTGAAACTTAGTTTTATTCATATTTACCGTCAGCAGTTGTGTTTCAACTTCATCATGAACTAGATCTATTCCCATTCTCTTTTCCCGATGAAATAGACATTCTCGGGCTACCTACAGACACATAAATAATAGAAAGCATTACACAACTTGACGACAGTCAGTGACTAACAGTTCTAATAACTTCATTCATATGTAAGCCATAGAAACTTCCAGTACCAACACTGCAAACCATTCTGGTGGAAATCTAGCACAACAAAGACTGTGATAATAAATTTCTGCTGTTGGCTACAAGTTAAAGAGTTAATGCTTGGAAACAGTTTAAGAAAATTTGTAATTTGGAAAGTGAACAAAATGGAGCAGATGACCTCTACCTGATCCTTGCAAATTAGCATCTGAAAACATTACTTAGCATGTGTCTGAGACAAACAGTTCAGTAACAGGAAACATTGCTCTACAGCACATTGGGTTAAGCCCAGTGCACAGCAAGCAGGATTTCTCTAAAGCTGGCTGTGGTTGGAATCCCAGCCCTGGTAGTTTGAAAAGAACACTGCCACATATCTGTGCACATGCCCAGAATCCTGACAGGATGTAAAAATGAAGGAGAAGGGATTGTGACATGATCGTGCCCCAGTGTGGGGTATTGACTCTCTCTGTGGCCAGTACCTACTCTCTCTGGCAATAAAATTTAAAAATTTTAAATATAAGAGATTATTTTTAAAGTACTGGGCATTGTTTTCCTGATTATAAAAAAGAATATGTCTTTATCCACTAATGAGGAAAATGCAGAAAAGTAGGAAATATGATGTAGCCATAATCCCATCAGTTTTGTTTAACAAAATGAAAGCTTTAATGCCTTACAATTTATATTATGCTTTTTTAGGACTCACATTAAATAGCAGATCCAAGTCATGAAATAGTTGTGGAAACAAAGGATTGGGTCCTTGGAAGTCATGTCGTACTTGTCTATGCAAAACTGCGACATGCTTTTTCCGCCAATCAAATGTAGTAATGACCCAAACAGAAAATGGCTTAGATTGCTAACAATAAATTATGTATGAAAAAACATTATGAAGCTGTTAAAATGTTTTTTTCAAAGACTATTACATTAACTTTTTTAAAAGCATAAAACATGATAGTAGTATGCATACTATAATTTGGATACATCATCAATTCTTTGAGAGTGAATATTAAATGTTTTAACAGTATAACTTACATTTACAAAAAGAGGGATTGATGGGCCAAGGGGAACTCTGATTATTTTAATATACATTACTAAATTACTTCCCACGAAATTTCTACCTATCCACAATCCCATGAAATATGGGAAAGTGCCGTTTTCTACACTTTTGCCAACCCCAGATATTTACTATGAGTCTCATTATTGCAAATTTTTAAAGTTTATTTATTCATTTCAGGAGTGAGAAAGATAGACAGAGATACAGCACCCCAACAAGGTCTCGACTCCAAGATACAAATCCAACCCCAGTCAACCTAGACCACGGGCACATGCATGCCTGGTATACTCCAGGACGTCTCCAAACTTAACCTGGCAGTCTTCACACTGGTCAGCCTCACAGAGCATCGAATTTTACTACCGTGCCACCATCTGGTTTTCTATTATTGCAAATTCAACAGGCCAGAGATAATTACCTCATTATTTAATTTGTGTAATACTATAAAGTTTTAATATTTTCCTTATATTAGTTAATCGTCCATATTTTTTCTTTTGAAATTCATCTGCTTATGTGGCTAACCCTAGTTTTATTCAGGACCTTCTGATACTGTGTTGACAGTAAATGTTCCAAACACACAAGAACTTCTGAACAAAAACTGCAGGAAAAAATTCAAATGAGAAACATCTCACTGAAAATAGCCATCACTGAAAAGGATGCTTAAAAGGAAAAACTGAATCTCCTCAGGAAATCAAATAAGAGGGTCAATAGAAATCATTTTAAGGATACTTTCAATTCTTGAAGACAGTGCGGGGTGGAATGGGCTGTAGAATAAACCAAACATCTTCTAAATGAGTCAAAGCTCAGGGAGGGCACAGAACACCTCCTGATTCTACATAATTTACAATAAATTCATTAAAAAAGATATTTCTAGTGGATTATTGACCTTTCTCAGGATTTCTGGGATTTGTGTGTGCTTGTATTTAGGGGAAAGAGGATGAGATACGAAGTGCCAGAGGGCAGGGCTCCCCACCAGGCTCCTCAAACCACTAGACGTCCAGCTCTTTGATTCCCACTCTTCTCCCATAGATGTCATGGTGAAGAACTACTGCAAATGTGTACCACACAGGAAATAAGGGGGCTGGCAGGCGGCATGGTGGTTAAAGGCACCGGATCCCCATATGGCTGACCATGCTTCAGATCCTGGACCTGGTGCCTTGCTCTCTCACTTTCCCTTTCTCTCTCTCTCTCTCTCTCTGTCTCTCTGTCTCTCTGGTCAAATTTAAAAATAATAATAATAATAATGAATGGAATTAAATAATTTTTTAAAAGAAGTGGTATACATCAAAATATGCACATACAACTTCTAAGTTCATTTCTATAAAGTGTACATCTTCGAATATGGAATGCTTTTTTATCAATGGCCGAGGACAGAATGAGCATGGAGGGCCTACTGCAGGGTCAGAGGGTAAGAGATGATTTAAGCCCACTCAGGTCAGAAGACAGCAACCAACTGAAATGCTGCCTCTGTTCCCATGACAACTAACTGGCCTAACCTCAGTCCCATTTCTCAAGTTAATCAAACTTATTCCATCTGCTATGATGGCCTCATTTTATCATTTCAGTGTGCCCTGAAAAAGAATCATAACATATACAAAGGAAGCATTCCATGATATAAACTAAAAATATATAGGTTGTTTGATTTTTGCTTTTTGTTTTTTGTTTTTTAAATACTGTTTACCTTAATCCAGGGACAGTAATGATCAAGGAGCTTATTTAGGAGATGAGATGACATTTTCACCTTAAAACATAATGTGTCTTAAAGGTGTCTCTTTAACCAGCCTCCTTTTCATTGGATTCAGAATTCTTAAAGCAGTTAGTTGTTCTATATAACGTGTGAATATGGCAGTGTTTTTTATAATTATTTAAACTGCTTAGACACATTGATGGGGTTTGATTTCGACAGGTGAAGTGAAATATAATTCAACACATAAATAGCCTCATGAATTCAACCAATAATAAAAATGCAATGCCTTTTAGCACAAGGTCTTGTATCTACCTGAAGAGGTGCTTCAGTCTCCATCAAAGCCCTCTCTAATTTTTGCTTAATATCAGTGAGTGCGTTTGTCTCTCCAATCATTTCATCCAACTCATGAATTATTTCAGACTTCCAAAACCCTATGTCATTGACTCGTTCTCCCAAATTTTTGGTGGAATCTGCCTGGGTTTTTCTTGTTTGTTGATACTTGTCTTGAATCAGGCGGGATGTATCCACTCTCAGTCTCTCTGAGTTATAGCGAGAAGTGTCGGACTCTTGATAGTTGGTTAGATTGGACCTGTACCAATCATCAGGAGTGTATCTGGTGAACAGAGTGGTTCTGTTGGAAACAAAGGGACGCATGGTGCTCTCGGACACCCTCTGAGATCTGGTGCAGTAAGGGTCCAAGGTCGGGAAGTTGGAGAATGTTTTGTAGTATGTGCTTGGTTTCCAAGGAAGGCTCAAGCTATGCGTCAAATTGTAGTGAGGGAATTGGTCCTTATAGCTTGATGTCATGGTGCTGATGGCTGGAAGAAAGTTGGTTGGTGTTGGTCTAGGGTGGGCATAAGTTGCCGTTAAAGTAGAACCTAAAGGCTGCATGATGCCTAAACGCTGTGCATAAACCTCTCCTATTAAGAGAATTAAAAAGAAAAAGAAAAAGTAAAATGGACAGTCACACAAATTCATTTCTGGTGAAACATATCACACAAATAAAAGGCCACATCCAACTTAGTATCAGTTGCACTGCTCCCTAACACATTAGATAGATATTTGTTCTAATTTGTTAGCCAAGTTTACCAGTGATAATATATTCCCAAACTGTTTTATTTATTTATTTAGAATGTATTAATATCACTTTTTTTGCATTGGCCATTTAAATATTTTTAATTACAAAAGTATATTGTTTTGTTGTGACAAATTCAAATTATGAGCCTGAAGTATGCATTTTAGGAGAAAGATGTGAATCAGAGTCCTGTTATTTACTAGTTGAGTCACTGGGCAAATTATTTAATCTCCCTGTGCTTCAGCTGTCTCATCTATAAATAATAGGGAATAATAGCAGCACTTCCTTCTTTGGAGTGTTATGAGCAGTATTAGCAGTAAGGGGTTGCTTGGTAACATATCTCCCCCCCTACCAAGACACCCAAAATAAACCCACAATTTGGGTAACAATGATGCAATGGGTATCCAAGCACAGCTCAAGGCAGGTAGCCTTCCCCTTTCTTGAGGACTTGCCATCTCTGAGCAACTCCAATATAGAAATTTTAGGGCAGTCACAAGACTATAAGGATTAAGATGATCCTAAGTATTTGCAACGCTTAGCACATTGTTGGGCACAAAGTAAGTGCTCAGAAAAAGTTAGCTTTTTACATTACTAATACAGAGGAGTATAAAAAGTAAAAGATAAATATCATTGATACAGTATTCCCTCCTAATCTGTGGGAAAATATACTCCAAGACTGGAGAGGTGATGTCTGAAACTGTAGATAGTACTGAATTTCACATGTACTATTTATTTTTTCCTGTACATACATACCTGTGATAAAGTCTAATTAATAAATTAGGTATAGTGAGAGATTAGCAACAAAAACTAATAAGAATAATTATAACAATAAACTATAATAAAAATTATGTGTGTATAGTCCCTTTCTCTCAAAATCTCTTATCGCACTATGATCACCTATTTCAGGCCATGTTGACCATGGATAACTAAAACTCAGAAAGGGAAACCACACATAAGGGGGGAATTATAGTAGTTGTATCTTTTCAGATTTCTCCTATTCATATGCCAACATATATATTATTTATCTGCTACTAATAGGTATATAAATCTGTATATCATTTGCGTAGATGAACAGAACTTTTGTAACACAAAAGTTGAATTACTATAATCATTATGCATATTGTCCTAGAACATACCTTTTTTTTAAATGTATTTATTTATTTATTTATTTATTTCCATTTGTTCTTATTCTTTTTTAACTTGACCATACAGAGACAGAGAGAAAGCAAGTTGCCAGGTCTGGGACTCAAACCATGGTTGGCCATGTGAGAATTCAGCGCCTTTAACCACCACAGCACCTGCTAGCTCCTAGGACATATATTTTTTTAAACTTAAATATATATTTTGAACCTCTCTCCCTGTTAAAACATGGAGATCCACTCCAGCCTTTTTGTTAGTTCTGAAACTTTTGGTTATTACTGTTCCAGAAAGCATCTACCACAGTCTACGATATAGTTTTCAACATTTAAATATCATTCTGCTTTGGAGTTAAAGTCTACAGACTCATTTACTGAAAAGGAAAAATTAAATAAGATTCAATTCTATGAATTTCTCAAAAAAAAAATCTCCCAGCAGACTTTTTTTTTTTTTTTTTGGAGAGGTTTTTGCTATAGGGCGTGTGCGCTCACCAGACAGACAGAGAGCGAGAAAGCGAGAAATCACCCCCCAGGGGGGGATGGCCACGCCGCAATCTCTTCTCCCCCATTCTCCTCTCAGGATCTTGGGCACGCACACACATGCGCCCGGCATGAGTTTTAAGCCACCAGGTCCGGGACGCGAACCGTGGTCGACTATGTGGGAGTCCAGCAACATAGCCATTACACTAACTGCTGGTCCCTCAGCAGACTATTTAAACAGCTATGTCTTAAGAGGCATTTGGTACCTAAATCCCCCAAACAATCTACTTGTAGAACTGTGTTCAAGTCAAAACCCACTCTGACCATGTGATGAAATAGTTAGCAGTAATGATTCACATGATACCAGCTCCTCGACTTTTTCCTAAGTCTTTCCTCCTGTAGCCTCCCCAAATTGAGAGAACAAGAATGAAAAAGAAAACCTTATCAATCATTTTCAATTCTTCATTTTGGAACTTAAACATTGCTCTTTGAAAAGTCAAATTCAAAGTAACTTCAGGCTTTAGGATCCTGAAGGCTGCCTTTTGACCTGGACCCCATGTCAAACCTAGAAATAATCTGGTTTTCTTCTAGCAAGATGCTTCGTAGAAAGAGACTATTCCTCCTTGGCGTTGCTTAATTTTTAACAAAAACCAATGACTCAGTCCCTTGACCGTGAAATTCCAAGCAAAGAATGCCACACAGGTTTTCCCTATACCTGTTATCTCTGCATCTTGAGACATCTCAACTCATGTTTGTCAAATATTGAACCATAAGTCATCTGCTCTAAGGGGTGATAAATGTGAAGATATAGAAATTCATAAGCCACATGAGACATATGGACTAAAAAAAAAAAGCAATTTATAGAAAGTAGTGATTTTTAAATTAGCTTAGTTATAGCTTAAAATATGGAATATGAAGCCTAAAGCTCAATTGTTTAGAGCTTGCAGTAGAGCTTCTAATGCATACCAATAAGTTTCACATGGAGAAACAATATTTTATAGCCACAACTAAAGTTCTGCCATCTTCTAAGTCACTCAGGAAGACTGAATAAAACACTGAATAGCAATGTTTTCCCAAAGTATTTACTGTCATATATTTTTGGTCATTTCTGGTGAAGAAAACTGAGTGTCATGGCCTAAGAAATACTTGAAAACTCGAAATAGATTTCTGCTTTCAATAATGACAGTCAAAAAAACTATACTTAGCTTCTTACATTTAAAATTTAGAAAGAATATATGAAACAACTGTTTTTAGACATTGAACAACATTGGTCCCAGAACTCTGAATCCTGAGAGAAAAGAAATAAAGTGAGCCCTCTGATTGTCATGGCATTTGCCTGGAGGCAATTACCAGACCATGGAAATAACAGATGGAAATCAAACTGAGCCGCAGGCAGCCTTCATGAGCTGAGAAAGTTATCGGAATTTGGGGAGGCTGATAAAGCCAGAAGGTTGTGAAACAAGATTTTGAAATAGAGTGAGTTCCAAGGAAAACAGCTTCAGAAATCTATGCAGGGATCCCTGTAAGTCATTGCTGAGAAACAGGCTGCACATGTACCAAGGAACATTCCACAAAGAGGCAAGAGGGACGGCAGAGTTATTAGCTGAACACTGTCTAGAGCATGCGGAGGATGAAAATACATTTTGAACTCAGACTAACCAGATTGGAGAGTCATTGATAATCTGCTGAGGCATTCAATGGAGACCCCAAAGGGTAGCACGTTAGACATAAGGCTAAACTATCTCTGGAGTGAAGATACTTAAGACACACTCTCACAAAGCCCGAAAACAGGTCTCAGAAGAGTTCAAATTACTCTACAAAGTAACTCAAGTATCTGACAACATTAAGAAATTCAAATATATAATGTCACAATGTCCAGCATCCAGTCAAAAACTGCCAGACATAACAAGAAACAGGAAAATGTGACCCATAATTAAGAAAAATAAGCCAAGAGAAATGGCAGAGATAATGGAACTAGTAAACTATGTACTAGTCATAAAGATGGAAACAGAATGAAGACAGAAATGGAAGATTAAAAAAAATGAAACTTTAGAAATATAGCATACAATATATATTTATAAAATATATATCTGCCCAATTTACAACATAGGATTAACAGCAGATTATATATTGGAGAAGATTAGAGACCTCAAATATAACCAAACTAAAGCCAGAGTTTGTTTGTTCTTTTAAACTGGAAAAAGTATACAAATAACAAGCACCTAAACAGAATAGCAAGTATTCTAATATTGTGTATTTGAAGTGTCCTAAAAAGAAGGAAGAAAGCAAAAATATCTGAGGAAATAGTGACTGAATATTTTCCAAATTTGATGAAAACTATAAATCCCTAGGACTAAAAAGCTCTATAAACTCCAAGGTGATAAATACATAAACACACAACACTGCCATCACCACCAATGCTAATGCTTACCAAATCAAATTGCTGAAAACTTGTGATTAAAAAAAAAAAAAGAAAGAAAGAAAGAAAACTTGAGACCAGCAGTTGGCATAATGGCTATGTCACTGAACTCCCATGTAGTCGACCGCAGTTCGAGTCCCAGACCAGGTGGCTTAAACTCACACCGGGCACATGTGCATGCGTGCCCAAGATCCCAAAGGGATTGTGGCATGGCCATCCCCCCTGGTGGGTGATTTCTCGCTTTCTATCTCTCTGTCTCTCTCTTTGTCTTTCGGGTGAGTGTATGCGCCCTACAGCAAAAACAAACAAACAAACAAAAAAAAAACCTCTCCAAAAAAAAAAAAGAAAAGAAAAGAAAACTTAAAATCAGAGAAAAAAAAATTAGAAAGGAACAAAGATGAAAGTTATTATCAGAAAGCAGAAAGTCTCAAAGCCAGAAAACAATCAATAAACATCTTTAAAGGACTAGAAGAGTCAGCCTAGAATTCTATATCTAGTGAAAATATGAAGTTGCAATAAAATCTTCCATAAAAACAAAAAAGAATTCATCATCAGCAGACCCGCAATTAAAAAAAAAAATGTTAAAGGAAATTCTTCAGGCAAAAGGAAATTATACCAGATGGAAACTTGGATCTACACAAAGAAATGAAGAATGTCAGAAATGGTAAGAACGTGTGCTAATATAAAACAAAACCAAAACTTTTCTAACTCTCAAATTTCTTTAAAAGATAATTGCTTAAAATAAAAATAATATAAAATTGGGACCAGCAGTTAGCGTAATGGCTATGTCGCTGGACTCCCATGTAGTCA